TATGTTTCGATTTAAAAGTGATGCAAGTCAATTTGAAAATCTCTGTTAATTTTTAATAGTTTTCTTAAAAAGGAGAAGAAATAATTCGAAACTGATATGTGATTTCGATATTGACATTGATTCTATCCAGCCTTGCGTCTTGGAGAAAGTGAAAAATACATATTGAATGGGAACCATCAGGTAATGGCCAAAGGGGTGTTCAAAGAGGCTGGTATTACTATTGAATACAGTGGGCCCACGGCTGTTGTCGAACGGGTAAATTCTACCGATGCTATCAGCACTAACTTAACTTTGCAGGTAATTAATACAGTGGCTCGCAAAATGTTCGAGCATCTTTTAAAACATCCTTTCTTTTTAGTATCGTATTAGTTCGTAGTTCGATAAAAATAAGATAAAACATCANATATAAGTATATACTAAGTTTCAGTCTTTCTAGTGTTAAAAGTGGTCGTTTCATTTATAGGTACTGTCAACAGAGATAGCTAATCCGCCGCAAATCACTTATGAATATACAGTGCCGAGAAAGATTTTGGACAGGTACACGTGGGTGCTAAATGATGACTGGACGAATTGTAGTCTACCTTGTCAAGGGATGACGTATCGCAAGGCTGAGTGCAAGAGCATCGAGCACCGACACGTCGTTTCCGATGTTTACTGTCGAAAATCGGAGAAGCCGCGGGAGAAAAGTGAAACTTGCCACAATCATTGCATTCTCGAGTGAGTAAATTTAATTGAAAAATCTCTGTCACACGCTGTGTAGATCGAAACGCGATCAACAAGATTTTCGATCGACGTTATAAAATTGATTTTTCTCTAAACGAATATAGGTGGAACGAGAGAGTGTCGGAGTGTTCGAATCACTGTGGCCCGGGGATTCAAACGGTGACGTCGAGATGCGTGCAACGGTTGTTAATCCGTCCGTTCCATTTAATTCCTATTTATGACATATCGTGCGCTCATCTGCAACGGCCGAACGACACGAGGCCGTGCACGGGTCCCTGCGAGGATGCTCACTGGGATTACGGGGAATGGAGCGCCTGTGACGTTACATGCGGCACCGGGCTTCAGTACAGATCGGCCACTTGCGTCGATTCAAACCGGAGAGAAGTTTCCGAGGAGAACTGCATGCGACAGAGAAAAGATCTGGAGAGACCATGCGCGCAGCATTCGTGTCCCAAATGGGCTGTGGCGAACTGGACCGATGTAAGTATTGAAAAATCCAGACATTCATGTCTAAAATTTGTAACTCACGAATTAGAGAACTGTTTTGACACATGCATCTCTCACTTTCACAGCGTGTAATAGTTAATTAATATAATAAAAACATTAATTATTTATTATTATTATTATTATTATTATTATTATCTTACGACAGTGCTCGGTGACGTGCGGTATTGGCGTGCAACGGGCGACTTTTGTCTGCCACATAGATCATCGCATTGTTTCAAACAGCTTCTGCGGCAATCCACCTCGGGAAATCATCAAATCTTGCAACGCTGGGTCTTGCGAAGAATGGCACGCTGGTGACTGGAGCCCGGTAATTAATTAAATCAACTACAATAATCGTCCATCTCTCTTTTAAATGATATCGAATATTTTTATTAAAAGAAACAAATTCGATTCTAATTTCCAGTGTACAGTCAGTTGCGGCGAAGGTACAAAGCGAAGGAAAGTCATGTGCAAGGATGATAACGGATTGAGAAGCAACAGGTGTTCTGACTCCGACAAACCGGATGATATTGCGGTTTGCATATTAAAATCCTGTCCAACAGTAGTACGTATATCGATATCTAGCCTTGCCTTATCTGAATTATTAATTATAACCAATTACTCTAGTCTTGTCTTACTTATTAATCCTAATTATTTTCTATAGTCTTGTCCAAATTATTAATAATAATTAATTATACTTAATAAAAATTAAAAATTTTGTGTTTTGCAGGTGAGCGAAACGCCGATCAAATATTCCTCGGATCCGCCGTATGAGGTTCCCTCTCAACAGGACAACGAAGTTCACGATATAATATTCCGTTCCGGATACAAGTGGCACGTGGAATCGCGGAAGGTGCGATAACTATAATACTAATCGAAATAATTTTCTATATCGTTCAATTCTAAATATTCGCTTATGTTCCAGTGTTCTAGTCCGTGTCTCGAAGGGTACATGCAGACGCCAGTTACGTGCGTTTCGATCGAAACGGGAACCATCGCGCCCGACGATTATTGCGATAACGAGAAGAAGCCGCCTACTGAGATTCCTTGCAATCGCTATCACTGTCCGATGTGGCACGCCAGCGAATGGGCACAGGTAAGTTAATCAAAAACAAGCTATCATCCGTGGTCAACGACTTAACTATTCTGATATATGGCAGAGATGGGGAACCTTTTTACCACTAATGGCCACATTTAAATTAGACAGTAATAAAGAAAGCCACTATAATTTTTTATATTTCACTGTTGATATTTTTATTTGTTTAAACATACATACATATTCATCCAGATCTTCAAATTTTAATAAACAATTACATATTTAAATATCACTTCAAATAAAAATAATATTAGCAGAAGAATTTTTACATAAATTTATTACTTTATAAAGGAAGACAATAGAAAAATAATAATATTAAGTTATAAATAACTAAAGCAATAATACGGGAAATAATTTTTAAATCTGATGGAGAATTTAAGTTTGTAGGATACTTGCATTTGTTTCTTGTTTGAAAGTAATTGAATACATTAAAATATAAATACCATTTGGAATCGTACAAGGAGGCCGCACGTCCCCCATTAGTTTCATTAAGATGAACAGGACAGTATCTAAAGTATATCTACATGCTCACTTAGTGCAACGTGGAATGTGGGACCGGGCATCAGTACCGGCAAGTGATTTGCCAAAGTCCGAACGGCGACCTACTGCAAGACGAGAAGTGTCACGATAGCGAGAAACCGGAAATAGTGAAGCTGTGCCGGAAGAGACCCTGCGCGCACAACAACGACCGAAGGAATCGATTAGAAACGAATATTCTACGCAAATGGAGAACCTCTCCGTGGACTCCCGTAAGTAACATCTATCACATCGCTCTTATATCGCTTATTTTTTTAAAAATAAAGAGCCAAATTGAAACTACACATTTTATCGATGTTGTGTATTGTCCAACACGTCGCACTCTCTATAGCATGTGAAAGTCGTTAATCCGTAACAGTGAAAGGAAGAAAAATCTGAAATGGACGATGAGAGCGAAACCCTTCGTTTGAATTAATTGAATCCTAATATATAATACGAGAAAAATATATACGATATAACGCTAGGATAAACAGCTACGTTCATTTACTTCTCCTATGACTTAACTATTGAATTTTAGTAAAAATGTGAAAACGTCGTGGTTGTAAAATACGTAAACGGAAAACGTCGAAAGAGGAGTCGGGGGTTGGCATCGAAGTTTGGATCGAACGAAAATGTTTTGCAGTGTTCGAAATCGTGCGGCACCGGGACGCAGAGGCGGAGGGTGGAGTGCACGATGAGGAGGGGAAACCACGGACCGGAAGTAACCGTTAAGGACGAGCACTGCTCGAGGCTCGGGCTGAAAAAGCCGAGAGCGCAGAGGCCTTGTCGACGCTTTGCCTGCAACTATATTTGGCAAGAAGGAGCTTGGTCTGAGGTATCTTCATACCTCGCCGCTATGATCTATCGATCACGTTCGCCACTTGTTATTCATTTCAATCGAGTTTGTCTCAATTGTCTTGGATTCATCGAGTTTATCGACAGATTTACGGAAACTCAATCGTCGCGTAGCTTCATCGATAGAAACTGTTATTTAAAACAAATTTTCTAAACTGATACCACAAATATTTTATTTTGCAAAAAAATTCAATGACATATAAAATTGTCGATGATTGTCCGTAATTTATCGATAAGCTCGACTTCGCACTCGACTTGGAAATTGTTTGGAGAAAGGAACTCACTGGGTCGCATTTCATTGTGTGGTTCGAGGGAAGGAAGCACGGAACGATCGAAGTTAGTCGAGAGATTCGTTCTCTTTGCGATAAAGAACCATCACGTTGATCAACACTAACTTTGGTCAAAAGAGGTTTTCGTTACATGCTCCCAGAATGAAGATATTAATAATTTTAGTAGATAGATCCAAAATCCTTAACACGTGTCTAATACTTGATGCTCTTCGAACTTGCTTTTAAGTGATTTTATTTGATTTCTATCCACTTCCGGAAACGATGTCGATTTCGTAGGCTCCAGTTTGAGGAAACGATCGATTTTTATTAATACTATTAACACCAGTAACTTTGTGTTAATATCGTGTTGATACACAGTTTTATCGTTCGATGAATGATTCTCTTCTTGATATACGATTCCCAACGTTGCGCAGCATGCGGAAGTCATCGATATGCATGACGCCAAACATTAGTGTCGTTATCGATTCCCTTCATGTTAATGCACCGTCTTCAGACAATCATACGACACATATCGTACTTATCTGTCGGGTGAACACATGTTTATTCTCAAGCAAATTACGATAACATTCAAATTTCCGTTTACGCCGTTCTTTGCCATTTATTGCAGTGACCATGCAATATGTTTTTCATGTATGTATAAAATTGCTTTGACAAGGAAACACGTCGATGTACATATTTATATATTTGTGTGTCTTACTAATAAAAGTAACTGCGTTTCACGAACATTGTGAATTAACAGAAATGAACTATTAATAACACTAATATATGTTTAA